GAGCAGACGTGACTAAATGTTCCCTTTAAATCAATTTGGTGCAGGGGTTTCACTTTAAAAAATCTACAAACTATGCAATTTCCCCATAAATGCCCAAATGTTTGGATACATTTGTAACCCAGGGGTTGTAACAAAGAAACATAAGTGTTTATAATGTGTGACCTCAAGACAATATTGCTTCTTTCCTATAATTTTCTCCACACACCTCACCTTTTTACTCTTTTTTTACCACAGGCAAAGCACACAAAATGGGGACAGAGATTCAAATGGAAAATTGTAACTTGAAACTTTGCATGAAGTTCTAACGGCTACTTAGTACTTTTATTGACCTATTGTGTCTAAACCTAGAGTTTGGCCCACATTATCTTGAACAACACAACTGTTGTTATTTTAAGTAGAGGGACCAAACCAAGCTCGTGTTGCAGATATAGGATGAAGTGATGACTATCAGCTTTGATTTCAGGAGCTTAAAAGAATATGGTTTCTAATTGTTGAGAAATTAATATGGAAGCTGATTAACAGAAGAGGGTTATTTCTTCATTATGTTGTTTTCTTCTACGTTTTGAAGGACAAACTGAAGGTGGCCAGCTGGCTGTTCATTTCATTTCATGATCCAAGGTACAATTTAGAAATTAAACAAAACACAAACACACATTTAGTATCACCTTGGCACAGTGCTAGGCTAAGGTGTAAATCCAAATCCTAATGAGGTGTAGGTGTGGATTTTAAGACTGCAAAACAAACAGAGAAACATCTCAGAAGGAGTCAGACAATATATAATCTGATTAAGAGCACAGAGCGTTTAAATTCTGGAATGAAAATTTTAAAACATGCATTTAATTCGGTCATTACAGGTTTGAGTAGATGGCACAGCACACCTGAGTGTTTCTCAAGGTGATGACAGACAACCTGCAAACTAAGTTTCTTTCTATTTGGGTTTGTTTGTAGCTCAGGAGTCATCTAGCCAGGTCATCTACTAATCAGAAGGTTGGTGGTTCAATCTCTAGTCTTCAGTCTGCACACCTAAGTATCCTTGGGCAAGATACTGAACCAAAACCTGCTCTCTGATACATTGAGTATGAATGTGTGGATGTTAGCGAGAAAGCACTAAGGTGTAGGGAAAAAAGCACGTGTGTCGGTGACTCAGGCAGTTTGTATAAAGCTCTTTCTGCTTTCTGCTCAAGTACAGCAGAAAGGTGCTACACAAGAATCAATCCATTCATCAATCTACATGTTATGTTTTTGACACATTTTAAAATGAATTCATATTTCCTTATCAATCAAAACACAATATTCGTTAGTGTCGTAGCAAAATAAAGTTTTGAAGTGTGAACTGGAAACTCATTAAAAAGCTGTCTGTGGCTCTTATGCTTTGCATTAAACTAATAAACGGTCTGATTATTTGGCAAGAGCAGAAATCTAAATCTTTGTAGTGCCACAGCTAACGCAATGGGTTTTAATTTACACTCCTTGAACACTTTTCTTAAGAACTCTTTAAACCCATCTTAAAAATGTTTTGAGAAAGGTCTTAGCTATTACATTACTCAGTAAAACAGATGGCTGTACTGTAACCAACAAAAGCCCTGCTATAAAGTCTTTGGTCACAGATTTTCATCTGAGATTCTGAAAGCAGATGTGACTAGAGGGAAGGGTGGCGGAGGGGAAACTTAACACCAACACAAACGTTCCTGTTGGATCCCTTTTTTAACCTCTTAATGGATTATCTATGATATTATGGCTTGTTGAGTGGTAAAGACCACCCAGAAGTCTGTGCTTCAGATTTGTTTAGTTGTTTAGTAACTCAGTCCGTTGCTTGGCACTAAGTAACCAACATATGTGTTGTGTGTTGCGCCCATTCAGTTTATGACTGCAACTGCTAACCAAACTTGCTGGCCTCACCTGACAATTTGAATCTATTTAAGATAACTTCTTACATGGTGGCAGCTTATACATCAACATTGAAGCTATGCCCCTCATTCCTATTCTCTATGGATGCAATCAGAGGAGTCGCCCCCTGCTGGTCATTGATAAGAACTTCATTATTCAGACCAAGAAACTATACTCAATGAGATTAGCTTTATTTGGCTAACCTGGATTTCTGGTACTAGGGTTCAGTCTGAACTGAACTGAACTAGCAACAACTAAACATCACAGCTTTACAACTAAATTAATGTTGTTTTGTGATAACAGTTCAGTCATTTAAATATGACAACAGGTTAGACAAATACAGCCTGCCTCTGACTGGATTCCGTGGGATGTAGAAAGAAGAACAAAACAGGATTTTTATTGGTAAATGGTCTAATATAAGCTTGTGTTTTACTGAATTTTCTTCTTAAACTGTTTGTTAAAGCAAGCCAGCCATGCACACACATTGGCGCACACATGTAGGCATACACCCACATGTACTGATATGCATATTTGGGGTTTTTTTTTCTTCCTGTAACAGTATTTCCTTTGAAGACTGCTTAAATAAAGCCCTTCACAGCAGACAAGTATGATCTAGACCCTTTGAAATCCAGCTTTTAGACTTCATGACCTTTGAGTTCTACTTTTCAGAAGCCTCCTTTAATGAAGCCGTTAGAAAGCGACAAAGACCGAAGACAGTCTCACTGCTGCTCTGCTCCCTCCGTCAGCTTTAACCTCTCTGTAGCTTTTAACAGGAAGGCCAGAGGACACACAAGCACACAGATAAGATCGTTGTCTGTGCAAACTGCGGCACAATTTTCTTAGGATTCATAAGATCACATTTCTGTGGATCGACGGCTCAAAACTCCATTACAGGGATATAATCATTATGTCCAGAGTAATAAGTCTAAATTACCATTTCCCTTCCTTTCTTTGGTCATACTAGCCGGATTATGTAAAAACTGGCCACGACCTTGTGATCATGGCATACAGCATGTAACATAATAATATTGCTCTGTCCAGTTACTGCACTTATGCAAATGAGTCACATTAAAATGGCAAGCCTAGCTACTCTTGGACAATTGTGTCTAAGCATTTCTGAGTAGCTATTTCTGATGTGTGTAAATTACAATGGAGAGGCCTGGATATTGTTGCTGAAGGCAATTTATCTGCCACTCTCCCACTGGCTGTAAGAGGGCTTCGATGGGGGCAGGTGTTTTGGAAAGTGTCAGCACATGAGAAAAATGGAAGTGCTCAGCAGAGACCGCTCTGCACAGTCACCCCCCCACACGCACAGCTTCACATTCTCCCGTGCTTTATTAATCGTTTGTTCTTTTCTGTCTCCGCCCGCTTCACCGGTTGATTTTCTCGTGTTAATCAGAATATGCCTGCAATAACGTTTCCTTATGTAATCCCTCAGCTAGTCTTTCTCCTTCTCCTTGCAGTGCTCTTCAACTCTTTTATCCTCCACTTCCCCCTTCCCTGTCTGTCCTTCCCTCTTAAGCCAGTTTTCCCTGGAAGCCCTGTTTGACTCCTTCGCATTGACCTTCCTATCTAATGTGGCGCACATACCAAGCCTCGCCCGGCTGGTGACATCAGTGCCACTTAATGTGCCGAAGCAGCACCTGTCTTCATTACGATCCAGCACTCACTGCTTACATTGGTCTCTCCCTCTCCTTCCCTGTCTCTCTCTCTCTCTCTCATAGCACAGCCTCTTAGATCCCCGTTCTCATTCTGATGAAACTTGTGGTGATATACGTGGCCTTGGCCACTGCAGGGGTTTGGTGTGCCTACGTGCTTTTTCCTGAGTCTGCACATTTACAGCACCCAGGAAATGTCTATAGAACTAAAGGACCAGCTGCTTTATGCTCTGTAGGAGTGACGCACATATAAAAGGTTTAAAAATATGACCGAATCTGTCAGTATATCTGCTCGCTTGAGTCTCAAAAGCAGAGTTTATATGTTATTATGTATTTTATGTTTACAGTATTGAAGTGTTAATAATTTATTAAGCTTTATTTATTAAGCTTTATTTATTAAGCGGTGAATGCAGTGAAGAATGACAGAAATACAAAAGTAAAAGTACCTTACAGTTGTAATCAGGCACAAGAAACTGCAAAAAATCATTGTTGTGTGACCATTTGTGAGTGCACTCAGTACCATCGCCACGCTGGCACACACTATTAGGAAGAGACAAGAGACCTGGCATTCAAATAAAGCCCTAAGCACGATACTCTAATGAATAAAGGCCCTGGGCGGCTGCCTGGATGACAATAAAGATCCATACTGGAACTGGCAACTTTACAAGACACACTAGTCAGGACACACTTCTGGACTGACGCCGTACTTAACATCTTTGATCTTCTATAAAAGACTCCAAGCTTTAGTGATGAAAGTGCTGGAACATGGAGACGGACTCCAGACAAACTACTAAAAGTGTTTGTCTGGAGAGCGGCTGGCGCTAATGTGAGACCCGTCTGACCACCCAGTCAGATAAGCGTCATGGGAATAAATACAGTCTTTAAAGTTAATAGGCTGCTTTTCCAGATGGCTCTCGGTGACACAAGTGACTAAACACACAGGGCAGACTGTGGTGACGGTGAAGCATGAGCTGAAGTTGGGTAACCGTTTAATAAAAAGTAAAACAATCATTTTCTAAATTGCTTCTAAGTGCATAATATTATAATTACTATGAACTTCTGACCTCGTTTAAGTGATTAAAATAGCATCTCTTTTTATTAATATAACACATAGAGCTTAAATAATATAGTACACTTGAAACAACATGGTGGAATCAGTTCTTAGTAGTTTAAGTAATACACACTCTCATTTCTGACAAATGCAAGCCGACACTGCTGAGACGGGGGAGTAAGTGATGCGCTTACTGCATTACAAATCCTCGCGTGCACATCTTAAAGACCCTGAACCTGACATGTTTATGGATTTAATGCATTTCCAGCTGCATGTGTGTGTACATACACTATATTTGCATATGTGTATTTGGGCGAATCTATATGAACTTTCACATCCACCAAAGCTTTAACAGCAAAGCAAGCGCAGGAAATGAAACATATTTCACCTGATTAGAGTCTTACCTTTGTCCAGAGAGGCATCTGGAGAATTGAAGTCCATGAGACTGCTGATTTCAGTCTTGTAACAGAGTTCGGTAGCCGGGGGCTTCTGCCTCTGGTGGGGAGAGGGATCTAGGAGAAGAACAAGCAACCACCGGTTTTAACTTGATGAATAACATGTAAAAGGATCAATGAATACAAAGAACAATTCATTTGTATGATATGCAGTTTGCACTATAAGTATTTGGATACAACAAAGTTTTGGTAATCTTGAGTCCGCACACCACCAAGGTAGACTTTAAATCAATAAAGCTGCGATTCAAGTGCAGATTTTTAGCTATGAATCAAAGGGTTTCACAGAAGTACTGCTTTAACTGTTTAGGAATTACAGTCATTTTTAGTCTTCCAGTTTTAGAAGCTCAAAATTAATTGGACAATTAACTGACAGATGAGCCCTGTTCCCCCGTTATTCCTTGGTAAATTGTGCAGATAAAATATCTGAGGTTCGTTCCAAGTGCCAAACTTGCATTTGGTAACTGTTCACTGCAGCTTTCAATATGAGGTCATAAGGTGTCAGTGCAACTGAGTGAGGCTATCATTAAGCTATCAGAGGGACAGCAGCCAAATCTATATTCTGGATCTATAAATTCATGGACCAATAGACCTAAAAGACCACAGATGACGAGTAAAGTGGGACAAAAAATTATTCCTTTGGCTAATAAAACCAAAACAAAAGAGGTAGGCATATTGTTATCAAAATCTACAATCAAAAGAATTCTTTGGATAGATGAAGCAAGAGAAACTTACTAAGGCAATGGGAGAAAAAGAAAAGTATGGCAACGTAAAGAAAGAAATCATAATCCAAAGCATTCCCCATTATCTGTCAAGCATGATAGAGACAATGCTATGGTAGGTATGGCTTCCAGTGGACCCAGGTCATGAGTGTTTATTGATGATGTGACTGCTGATAGAAGTAGCTGGAGAAGTTGTGAAATGGGCTATACTCTCTGCTCAGGTTAAGCTAAATCTGCAACACTGGTCACACTGACAGCACTTTGCACTGCAAGTGGATAACAACCCAAAGCAAACTGCAAACATTTCTCAATGCAACTAAGCTGGATATTTTTCAAAGGCCAAGATGACCCGATCTCCACCCAACAGAGCAAGCATTTCAGCTTTGACTACAAGGCTGAAGTCAGCTGCAGCGGTCGGTGACGTTCATGGGTTCTAAATTTCACTGTCTGCAAGTCATTGTCTACTAAGGATTTTCATCCAAGTAATAAAAACAATCTTAAAAATTAAAATCATGTCAGTGTGAAAGTCTCTGAAATGTGGGACTATGTTTGAAAATGGTTTGAATTAAAGCTGAAAGTCACCTCAGTCAATCAAGATGTGACTGAAGTGCAAATTTATTAACATAAACAGACCGACAGGCATTACAGGTTGCAATGTGTGTAGGAACCAGAAGGATTAATGCCGCACACAACACCAACAAGTCCACAAAATCCTTCCCAGTACACACATAATCAACTTTTACTCCTCACTCCTTACACTGTAGGGAAACTGAGAGACTGATGCACACACATATATATTAGCATTTTTATAACCCGAGTGCATTTGATTTCATGTGAGGTTCAGTGGTTTCTAATATAGTTTTTGGTTCCCACCAGTGGCATGCAGTGAATGCATATTGAATGCATTGCTCCAGGTTAACTCACATAAAAGTGTTTGCTAAACTGACTTTGTCACTTAGACGTGTACAGTCAACTTCTGCTGTCCTCTCAGTCCATCACACTCGTGCATGCATGAAGAGTTTTAGACACCCAACACTCCAAGAATGACAATTGCTACTTCAAGACGAATAATAAAGTTCTCTTAGCAAAAAAAAGTTGAAATATTTGAGATTCTCCTCTGCTCACACATACAATAAAATTCCCATTTCTGCAAACTACATCTTTTCCACTTCACTCTTCAATCTCTGCTCCTCCCTGGCCTCTACCCGTTCCTTCTGCCATCACTCCACCACCCACCTATTAAGATGCTGTTTGCTGGTTGAATTATTTGCAGTAATTGAGCACAGATGTGTCTGGGAGCTGAAGTTCCAGGGGTGGTGCTGTCATTACGGCAAGATTAGTCATCTCACTTTTTAAAATGGGTTTTATAAGGCTACAAATAACAGCCTGGCTCCCTGTCCCCCACCTAAGGTGATTGGTAAAACATGAGGGCTGTTTTTAACTGCGCATAACTCTTTGCCACCTTGCAAACGTATAATTTTTCAAACTCGCCCGAGGTGCAGCCTTTGGCACTGGGAACACAGATGTCAGTTTTTTGAATAATGTATAAATTCAAAGCTCACACTTATCTGCCAAGTTCAAGCCGTTGCTGCCCAGTAGCCTCGTGAAAATGTTTTATCTTCCCTGCATAGTACCTTTGACAGGCCCTCACCGACATTTAAAACCCAGGAAAAGGCTAAGAGTATGGTGGAATAAATGCCAAGGAAGAAGTAAACCATGACAGCTGTTTGATGACGATAGTAAGGTTAAGCCGGTATGGAGGG